ATATTTACAAAAACAGTTCACTGTTGATGTCACTAGGCATGTTAAAAACTCCATTTCACTCACTGCATACACTTTAGAGAAATATATTTATTTACATTCGTCTATAATGGGTTACCATATATTTAAAAATACACAACACAACTATTTCATATCAGTATTTATAAACACAGTTCACTGTTGATACCTCTAGATTCATTCAAAACTTCACTTCACTCACTATATACACTTATAAGAAACTAGGCACAAATAATTAACCTGAATTCCGTTATTTCTACAGAAAAAAAACATTGCGAATAAATGTATTGCTTAAGACATGAAAGAATCAGACACTAACTTAGGCTTGATAACAGGTAAGACAACATACTTCAGAAAGAAAACATTTCATAAAATTTATTACACGCAATTTCGAATTATAAAAGGTTGTGGAGGAGTGTCGCGTTAAGAATAAATTATTAAACGTTTAAGCAATATAGCAAGGCGAAGGAAGCGATTTTAATAACCGTTTATAATTGTAAACGAATTTTTAACAATAGTTTCGATAACCATGTGAAGGTAGCAGAACTATAGAACAAAGCGTTTGAATAATAGTTTTAAAACACAATAAAAGGTAGCAGCACCATCCAATACACGTATAAAATTAAAGTTTAGTTCCTAAAACTGTTAAAAGAGGTCAGCACCATCCAGGGAACATGAAATCGGAAAATAGTTTAAAAAGTTGCCGCAAGGTAGCAGCACTATCCAGGGAGCCAATGTAGGGAATAAGAAACTCGAACGTAGTTGTTGAAACTGCCGCAAGAGGCCAGCACCATCCAATGAGACAATAAGAAATCGTAGTTCTAAGAGCTGCCGCTAGATAGTAGCACTACAAAGACTCCTGGTCGCTTCGAAAAGTGAGCTCCTTCGACCTCCCGCTATCCTGATACAAATCGACGAATTTCTCGCTAGAAATTCGAATAAAATTGGTAGTTCCAGCATTCTGCCAACAGATAGCAGCACCATCGGTATCAGGACCTCTTCGAAAAGTGAGCTCCTTCGACCTCCCGCTATCCTGATACAAATCGACGAATTTCTCGCCAGAAATTCGAATAAAATTGGTAGTTCCAGCATTCTGCCAACAGATAGCAGCACCATCGGTATCAGGACCTCTTCGAAAAGTGAGCTCCTTCGACCTCCCACTATCCTGATACAAATCGACGAATTTCTCGCCAGAAATTCGAATAAAATTGGTAGTTCCAGCATTCTGCCAACAGATAGCAGCACCATCGGTATCAGGACCTCTTCGAAAAGTGAGCTCCTTCGACCTCCCGCTATCCTGATACAAATCGACGAATTTCTCGCCAGAAATTCGAATAAAATTGGTAGTTCCAGCATTCTGCCAACAGATAGCAGCACCATCGGTATCAGGACGTCTCGGACCAGTATTTTTTTTGTTTTTCTCGATTATTCATGCTGGAAATTGATCAGAATATTTAAAAATAATTCCTTTTTGATCTTATTTCACCCTAAATCTTCAAAATTTCACCATTTAATAAATTTCATTATATAAAACTTATTTTTTATGCTGGGGATATTTCAGAATTGTTCGGAAAATTGAAAATAATGACAAGTCTTCCTAATATGTATTATTATCAACATTTATTAAATTAATAATACTTTTCTTTCCCTATAATATCATATGTTTCTTATTTTATACAGTTATGTTCGTTCTTGTTTATTCATGCTGCGAATTGATCGAAATATCTTAGAATTGTTCCGAAAATTCAAAATGCTTCGTCTTTTTTCTCATTTCCTCCAAATATAAAAAAAATAATGACGAATCTTCTGAATATGTTTTATTTTCACAATTTATTAAATTAATAATACATTTCTTTCCCTATAATATCATCTATTTCTTAAATTATACAGTTATGTTCGTTCTTGTTTATTTATGCTGCGAATTGATCGAAATATTTTAGAGTTGTTCGAAAATTCAAAATGCTTCCTCTTTTTTCTTATTTCGTCCAAATATAAAAAAAATTATGACAAATCTTCTGAATATTTGTTATGTTCACCATTTACTAAATTAATAAAACTTTTGTTTCGCTATATCATCTATTGTTTATTCATACTTCGGATTGATCGAAAAATTTTAGAGTTTTCGGTAAATTCAAAATGCTTCCTCTTTTTTCTCATTTCGTAAAAATATAAACAAAAATAATGACAAATCTTCTGAATATGTGTTATGTTCACCATTTATAAATTAATAATACTTTTCTTTCCTCAAAGTATCATCTACTGTTTATTCATGCTTCTGATTGATCGAAATATTTTTCAATTCTTTGGAAAATTGAATTAAAATTCATTTTGTATAATTACAATACGTATAAGTACATTCTATATTTCTCTTTCCTTGAAAGCTATTTTGTTTTAGTCGTTTATTCTTTGTTTTTACAGAAAACAAAATGAATTTAATATATAGAAACTATTAGTTTATCTAAAAAATATCTTATATAATATTAGAAAAGGGAAAGAAAAGTATTATTAATTTAGTAAATGGTGAACATAACAAATATTCAGAAGATTTGTCATAATTTTTTTTATATTTGGACGAAATAAGAAAAAAGAGGAAGCATTTTGAATTTTCGAACAACTCTAAAATATTTCGATCAATTCGCAGCATAAATAAACAAGAACGAACATAACTGTATAATTTAAGAAATAGATGATATTATAGGGAAAGAAATGTATTATTAATTTAATAAATTGTGAAAATAAAACATATTCAGAAGATTCGTCATTATTTTTTTTATATTTGGAGGAAATGAGAAAAAAGACGAAGCATTTTGAATTTTCGGAACAATTCTAAGATATTTCGATCAATTCGCAGCATGAATAAACAAGAACGAACATAACTGTATAAAATAAGAAACATATGATATTATAGGGAAAGAAAAGTATTATTAATTTAATAAATGTTGATAATAATACATATTAGGAAGACTTGTCATTATTTTCAATTTTCCGAACAATTCTGAAATATCCCCAGCATAAAAAATAAGTTTTATATAATGAAATTTATTAAATGGTGAAATTTTGAAGATTTAGGGTGAAATAAGATCAAAAAGGAATTATTTTTAAATATTCTGATCAATTTCCAGCATGAATAATCGAGAAAAACAAAAAAAATACTGGTCCGAGACGTCCTGATACCGATGGTGCTGCTATCTGTTGGCAGAATGCTGGAACTACCAATTTTATTCGAATTTCTGGCGAGAAATTCGTCGATTTGTATCAGGATAGCGGGAGGTCGAAGGAGCTCACTTTTCGAAGAGGTCCTGATACCGATGGTGCTGCTATCTGTTGGCAGAATGCTGGAACTACCAATTTTATTCGAATTTCTGGCGAGAAATTCGTCGATTTGTATCAGGATAGTGGGAGGTCGAAGGAGCTCACTTTTCGAAGAGGTCCTGATACCGATGGTGCTGCTATCTGTTGGCAGAATGCTGGAACTACCAATTTTATTCGAATTTCTGGCGAGAAATTCGTCGATTTGTATCAGGATAGCGGGAGGTCGAAGGAGCTCACTTTTCGAAGAGGTCCTGATACCGATGGTGCTGCTATCTGTTGGCAGAATGCTGGAACTACCAATTTTATTCGAATTTCTAGCGAGAAATTCGTCGATTTGTATCAGGATAGCGGGAGGTCGAAGGAGCTCACTTTTCGAAGCGACCAGGAGTCTTTGTAGTGCTACTATCTAGCGGCAGCTCTTAGAACTACGATTTCTTATTGTCTGTTGGATGGTGCTGGCCTCTTGCGGCAGTTTCAACAACTACGTTCGAGTTTCTTATTCCCTACATTGGCTCCCTGGATAGTGCTGCTACCTTGCGGCAACTTTTTCAACTATTTTCAGATTCGCGTTCCCTGAATAGTGCTGACCTCTTTTAGCAGTTTTAGGAACTAAACTTTAACTTTATACGTGTATTGGATGGTGCTGCTGTCTTTTATTCGGTTTTAAAACTATTATTCAAACGCTTTGTTCTATAGTTCTGCTACCTTCATGTGGTTATCGAAACTATTGTTAACAATTGGTTTCAACTTATAAACGGTTACTAAAATCACTACCTTCGCCCTGCTATATTGTTTAAATGTTTACTAATTTATTCTTAACGCGACAGCCCTCCACAACCTTTCATAAGTTAAAATTGCATGTAATAAATTCTATGAAATGTTTTCTTTCTGAAGTATATTGTCTTACCTGTTATCTAGCCTAAGTTAGTGTTTGATTCTTTCATGTCTTAAGCAATAGATTATTTCGCAATGTTTTTTTTGGTAGAAATAACAGAATTCAGGTTAATTATTTATTGCTAGATTCTCAAAAGTGCATATAGTGAGTGAAGTGAAGTTTTGAATGAATCTAGAGGTATCAACAGTGAACTGTGTTTATAAAAACTGATATGAAATTGTTGTGTCGTGTATTTTTAAATATATGGTAACCCATAATAGACGAAAGCAAATAAATATATTTCTCTAAAGTGTACGCAGTGAGTGAAATGGAGTTTTTAACACGTCTAGTGACATCAACAGTGAACTGTTTTTGTAAATATTATGTATATGTAGTAATTTTGTTATGTATTTTTATATATATGTGGTAAAACATAATAGAATAATACAAATAAATGTATTTCTGTGAAGAGTTGTTTTTAGTTTATCCTATTCTTTCTTTATAATATAACACTGATGCTCATTTCTGTATGTATTATGAACTACATATTTATATCTTCTGAATGTTTATCTAATTCAAAGTAAAACTGTTTGATAAATTTTTTTTTTTCTTCAAATTTTGAAGGTAAGTTTGTACAACTTTCTATCTATCATATTATTCATGTTCATAAGGAACAATTCATTGGGTTTTCTCGATGTTCATTTAAATTTTGACACTAGCGTTCATTTAAAATCTTTTGATAGTTGAATTTTAACATTTAAATTATATTTTTGAAAATTATCATGTGTTAATACTTTAGAATATATTGATTATAGTTGATTGACTGTGTTTATGTCATGGAACAAATGATCAGGATTTAATCATTATATTATTGCGAAATAGAACGCTCAATACAAACTTTTGGGTCTTCAAGGATGAAATTAATTCAGATATTCAAGAGATATATACATGTATAAAGTATAGACAGAAATAAGTAACAAAAACATAATCATTACAAGTATATTAAGGATAACGGGAATAGTAAGAATTTAGAAGTTCAAATTTTATTTTTTATTGTGTTAAATGTAGGTGGTAATATATAAAATCTTTACACAAGTTTATCTATTATATATTTTACAAACATCACTTAAAAGAAATAAAACTAACCACTTATATTACACTACATTTTTCTCATTTATAATATATATTCACTAAGTTAAGAATATCAGGCAGATGTTGATAATTTGAATAGAAGGGTAGTACCATGGACTATTTCTTATATTATGATAAAATAATTTCAATTATTCATGAAACTATTACATAACCTTGAAAAATATAATGGAAATATGGATTTACACACAAAATACATCTTTTAATAAAAGTATTAAGAGAATTAAATATAAGATTTGCTAATTTTAAGTTTTGGAGAAGATAAGCTCTTTTCTTTTCAACTCTTATAGCTAACACCTTTAAATTTTTTCCTGAAAAAAGATTGTTTTACTTATTCTCTTATTACTTCTTGTTAAGTATACATATTTATCATCTCAGCATATTGATTCAACTTGATGTAATACATATTAAAGTATTCTTTATTTATTTTATAATAATAACAAGTATTAAATAACATGAATAATTACAATAATGAATTCAAAAATTAAGACGGAAAGTTCTTGTATAGCATGGAGAGTTCTTGCCTGGTCTCAAATCAATAAACACTTTTTTTGATTGTACATCCTGACCATTTTTCATTAACAATTTCAAAAATCAATTATATATCCATCTCTAAAATAACAAAAATAAATAGCATCAATAGTTTCTGTAATGATTACAATAATTAAATGACAAGAATAATTACAATAATTTGTCTTTTGATTCTGCATTTATTATCTTTAACTTCTTTAGCGATATTGGAAAGTATACAATCTCATTTCGGTGTCGGAAGGTGTGTTACTTGTTTCTCAGAGTGGTGGTTCCAGGCCTCTGATTTACTATACGTAGGTAAAGACTGCATTCCCTCAGTTTGGAGTCTTGAAGATATTAACTTTTCTGATGTGGATTCAACTGAAGAAAATTTCCATGGCAGAGTATCTTATTTCATTTGTGATTTGATTGTCAATGGTCTCATTCACATTTCTGCCATTATTTTCCAAAGACATCTCCAATCGGCAGAGTAGTTTATCATGTCTAAGCATTTTCTTCAAGGAGGTTGTAGAAACCAGCTAAATACCTAAAACAAAAAATATAATTGTTATTATATATTTATTTACACATTATTATTATTTATGATTTAAGGTAAACCTAGCAGTATATATATAAGTTATTGTTTCATTATAATTAAATTGTTGTAATAGATAAGGTTTTAAAAATTATTAATTCTTTGCAAATAAATACTTTGTTATTGTGTACAAAAGGCTTTTTTAAAATGTATCGTGATATGAAACAACAATATAAGTTCAGTTAGGCTTATTTTAAATAAGGTTACAAAACATTTTAATTTAAATATTAGTTTGCAAATAATAAATATAATTCTCCACTGGTTCTAGCAGCAGTGACGCGGTTGAAAGAGTAGCGCAGGGATCTCTTGAAGTCCTGTTTTTCCTTCTATAATTGGAGGAAGAAACCTGGCTAGGGGTTCCCTGCCTGATTGTATATAGGCATGACTATGTTTTTAATTTAATTATCTTTAGGTTATTTTATTTTTTATTGTACATAGTTTTTGATTATTATTTTACTTTTGTTAATTTTATATTTTCTGTATATATGGTATGAATGTGTTATATCATATATCACTATAATTATTGTCCTCATGACAGACTGTTATATTTCTAAATAAATAAATAAAATAATAATAAATATAATTATTACTGAAGATTGTTCATTCATTCATCTATTATTATTAAATTGAGAAGGAGTGTGACAGGGTTGTGGTAAAATTAAATTCTATATATTATAATAGTATTTTACTGGCTATGCCTATATAATATTATGTAATTTGACTGCACTCTTGAACAACTCCTCAAATTATAATCACAATCGACTATCTCCACATTATTATTATTTATGATTTAAAGTAAACCTACCATTAATAGACAATATCAACTCATAAACCGACAATTAGCTTTATAAACCAAAAAGAGAGTGCAAATATGAGTATATTCGGAACTAGAATACTTAGGAGGGTGATGCCTGAACCTCAAGTGGTACCATGCCACAATAGCCGATTGGCAGTTGATTTCTTAATAATATAAGGCTGAGGTTTGTTTTAAAGATTCCTTATTACTATTCTTTAGGAAATAAGTTTGAAAATTGTATCCATTACTATGTGGTTTGATATTTCTTAGTTTCACTTTGTGGAGCATTCATTTTGAGTTTTATTAATTCTATAAAATCCTATTAACCCCCAAAACCCGAATGTCTATTACTGTGAAATATAATGCATTAATCCACTCTAAGTGTTCCATCTTCGAACAGCTGTGAATAACAATTTCAAAAAATTTATATTTATCTTCTAAAATAATATACCTAGTCCTGTCACAAATATTGTTACAAGAAAATATATATAAATTTAAACAGAAAAATCAATTTTTTCAAAAACTTTGTTAGAAAATAAAATGTATGTCTACAGAGAGTAAAACAAAAAAGAAATTACCCAAAATGTTCCCCTTTTGTCTTGACACAGGCATTTAATCTCTGTGGCCAGTGCTCAACTGTTCGGGCCCGAGACAGTTTGAGACTTTCCAAGTTAGGGTGTGCTCTGTGGCACGCCATTGTCTCTAGTTTAAAATAAAGACGATAATCTAGTGGGTTGAGGTCAGGGCCAATCCGAGGCCGAGATGAACTCTGGAATGTTCTTTTGCAGTCAGAGTTGACCTGACCTTGTGAGCTGGAGCGGAATCCTGCTGGAAGATCCAAAGAGTGCCAGCAAACAGAGTATTATTTAGGGGCTTGACAACATGTTCCAAAATATAATCCTGAAAGTTTTTAGCGGCTGTTTTAACTCTTTTTTCACAATAATGGAGATTTATAGTGTCATCAAAGTAAACTATCCACCAAACCTTCACTGAGGAAAGGTGATGACCTCTTTCCACTCTTCCAAGGACTTCCTGGACTTCTTTAAAGCTGTGTGTGTACACACGATCATTTTGGCGATTCAATTTTTCTTCAATTGTAATAATTTTCTCATCGCTAAACAAAATCTTTCGATGAAAGCCATTGGTGTAACGGCCAAGGAGCACTTTGCAGCCATCCACTCTAATTTTTTGGGAAGTGGTTATCCTTTGTCCTGTCATTCTTCGATATGCACCCATCCTAAGGTAACTTTTTATAATGCGAGACATTGATCTGACAGAGATTCTCACTTCCTGAGACATTTGTTGTTTTCGAATGGGGTTTCTTCTGATTCCAGCAGTCACTGCTCTCACTACATTTACCGTTCTCACAGTGCCTGGTCGAGGTCTGACACATACAGATAGAGTCTCATTATATCTATTTATAGTGCGGTACACGGACATACCCAAAGGTTTTACAATGTTGAAAATCTCTGATCTACATTTTCCGACTTTTTGTAAGGCTATCACAGCTATTCAGTTTTCTTTATCACTCCACTCCATGTTAACTGAGCGAATGAAAAATACAAACTAATTGGAATAATTATCCTGACATGTAAAGAAAATAACCTGATAGAGGTAAGGATTATCTAAATAATACCCAAGGATATAAACAAAGTTCCACTTTTGTAACAGTATTTACGGCAGAACTAGGTATTCTACCATAGCCCATGAAACTGGCTGGCTAAAACTTGTTTTAAATGCACCATTTCAATATTGACAATGTCTGTCTCGAACAAAGTAACCTTACAATCAACTTAACAGTTTATTTAATTCAATTGTTTTTTCAGTTTAATTAATTAAACAGTTCAGTTTCAATTTTAACAAATTTACATTTGTTTTTTAAAAGAATACATCAAACAATTTATCATCAAATTGATCAGCCTAACTACTGTTTTTAATACATTTCAATACCACTTCTGCACTAAGTTTTGAGTTTATTTAATTCAATTGTTTTTTTTTTCAGTTTAATTAATTGTTTCTTTACTTTCAGTTTATTATTTTCAATGACAAACCTTTAAGAATGATGAGGAAGAATAAATTAGATCTTCTCTCAAAATTAGAAATTTTATATTTCAAGAAACATAGAATCCAAAAATTGAACAATAAAAAAATAATACCTTTATGGGAATATCTCTTTATAAAAGTTTATTTCTGTGACGACTGGCTTAATTTTGTGTCATTTTCTGGTTGTTTTTGACACTGCATTAACAATTTTTCATCATCAGACAGGAATACAATATTTATTAATCTAATTTAATTAAATGAAAGTGCCTTAAACTTTCAATTAACTCCATTGTGGTACTTCAATTTTTCCAAGCTATGTCAATCAGCCATGTATTAGTTTACTATAATCATGATATTACTAATAATATCAGCCACAAAATTTATTCTGCTGCTCTGTTTGTGCATCATATTCATCATAATAATTTACAAAAAAAGAATAATTACAAAAAACAGTATTTTGCATTACAATTACATAAATGATTATTTTAAAATCAACATTCAACTATATTTGTGTTCCTTAAAATAATTAATGTTCATATCTAATGCTTAGTTTTATTAAATATACATGTATATATGGTAATAGTTAAGCCTATAATAATAAAATATATTACAAATAACATTCAATAATTTAAAACATACAAAATATCTTTAATGTTAACATTTTTATCACAAAAAAATTCCTCAATTTTGGGCACTTTTTCTCTCCCATGCATGAACAGCTGATCTGCAAAAAAAAAAAAATTACTTTAAAACAACTGACAGGAAAATAACTCTTATAGCAATGTAAAGCAAAATTCTATAACTCTACTATAGATATTCAATTTTTTAAAAAATACTTTCTATTGACACTCAGACTCAAAGAAGTTTTTTTGAAGTGAAAACGTCTTTAGGCGCGCAGTTTGCACTTTTTTTCGTGGAGAGTGAATTAGATTGAGCCGTTGGATCTCTTATGTGTATGCATATGGATTAAAATATCTCAAAAACTAAAAATCAGACCTGCATATTGTTAGCGAGAGAAATGTTCAGAATTTTATTCTCTTAATAATGAGATATTCAAAATTTTATATTAATGCGATGCTCTGTCAGAGAGGCAAAAAGGGAAAAGATATTGTCAAAAATTCAATGATAACGACCTTTATTGAAGGTATGGATCAAAATATCTCAGAAACAAACATAAAAATCGGACCTCATTCTTCAAGTGAGGGAACTGTTCATCATTTCATCCACTCTGTAATGGGCTATTATTCAAAATTGTATCTTAACGCGATGCTGTGTTAGGGAGGCAAAAAGAAAAAAACTAGTGTAGTATTATTTATAAATTATTATATTAACACAGTTGAGCAATATTACCTTAGTTCTCTCTCTTAAAAAATGCAATCTTAATTTTAAATACGTTCTTCATGACTTGAATTCTATAGCAACTCAAATTTATGCTTTTTTTTACATGTTTTTAAGTATTACCTAATTATTTATACTGGTAAATGAGTAACAAAAGTTTGGTGTGGTGCGCGCATTATACAACTAACTTATCACCCTCTTTTTAGCAGAAACAAGTATTTTCAGAAAAAGGGGAAGTGAAAGTAAAAATTATAGGTGCCTTACTTGTTTAGATTTCATTGTGGGTATTTTTATTTATTTAAGAACTCAATATATACAAATTTTAATATATATAAATATGTAATATTTATTAAATATTTTAATATATATTGCAGAAATCTATACAATTAAATATAAAATAATACCAACGATAGCATTTATGAAAACTGCATATATATGTACATAATATTGTCGGAGTTCATATTAAACTATGGTCATGTTACTCGGGCACACTTATATTCCTTCGATTCTTCCATTACAACTATTCTCTGTTAAGATCTCTTATTTCTCCTTTAGTTTAATTATCAAATTCTTTCATATTTAACTATTTTTTTATTATAGAGATCAGTGTGAAATGGTTAATTGTTTCAAATAAAAAATATTAAAGATACTTTAGAGGAAGCTAATATTGAAAATTAGCCATTTAACCCATGTTAGAGAACATCAATAAGAATAAAACCTACATTATATTAAAAACTGCTTAATTTTACACTGATGTGATGAATTTAATCAAAATTGCTAGAGCCGTTTTCGAGAAAATCGTAAAAATGTGTTACATCGATGATATAAAGTGCCACTTCCGGTTAGCCGATTTTGATGTAAAAGTTGCTGTAACATCACAGGCATATAAAAACCTTAAATATGCTATTTCACTTTCTTACGACTTTTCGTTTTTGAGCTAGACTATTAACACACACAGACCATTTATGGGACTTGGTTATTTGGACTCAGGGAATCTCAACAGGTGAATTTTTGTTGAAAAATGAGATTGGAAAATTTTCACGATTGCAATACTTTCTTTTACTATATATTTCATATATAGGTAAGCGAAAGTAAAAACAGTGAAGTATTTAAATCACACTCATTAAAATGCCTATAACATATTAAAAATTATATAAACAAACTTGAAATAATTTAAATTATTGTCTTACCTCACTGTTAACAGTGGCACAGTTTTAGTATGGTGCCAGCACCATAGTATAAGAATAATTGGCCAAGATCGAAAAGGCCCAATAACGGCCAGAAAGCCGTAAGCTAAGTAACTGGAGTAGAGAAGCAGCAGTTGGGACAGAAGCAATAATAAATAAGGAAGTCCGGAAATAAAAGAATTCACAGCCTGGAGTAGTTTGTTTTTGTTTCTTGGCTTACTGGAGACAGGATACTCGTGTAACCTAGAATAAAATAATTTTAACTTATTATAATTATAACTATAATTATGTTTATTATTTATGAAATATCGAGGAATATCACTCCTTCTGATGTGTTATAAAATATTCACATTATTCCTTAATAATTGAATCAGGGAATACACAAAAGAAATTACTGGAGATTATCATTACAGATTTAAATATAACCATTCAACTATTGATCAAGTATTTTTTTATGGCAAATATTAAAGTGAAATCGAAGTTATAATTTAATCACATCCTCACCAAATTAATGAAGGAGAAGAAATTTTATTTGCAAATAACTAGGAGTAAAAGTTATTGTTCTAATAATTTTAGGAGAAACAGAGTTGAGATTTCTTTTTAGCATCTCGAAAAACCCTAAAATATGAATTTTCATAGCAATCAAAAAGTAAAACTTTTGATAACGATGGATTTTGGAATAAGGTATCAAAGGAAAGGGAATTTGATGGAGACATGTCCTCCTGAAATTTCGGTGGAAAAAGTTATGAAGGAAAAGAAACTTCATTTGAAAATATTTAAAAAACTTTAAAATTGTTCGTTTATATGCACCAATGATTATTTGAAAAATTATTAAACTCCCTACAAAACAAAAAAAATCATCAAAATCTATTTGGAATTGGTATATTTCTAACAATTTATACATACTGATAGAGCAAAGTAGATTTAGTAGTAGATTCAAATAATTTTTTTAGGAGAAACCGAGTTGAATTTTGTATTTACCACCTTGAAAAACCCTCAAATATGAATTTTCATAGCAACAAAAAAATTTAGGCAGTTATACAATGCTGAATTGCGCGAACTATACACAGTTAATATAATTGAGATGATTACGTTGAAGCAAATAAAATGGACATGTAAAATTGCTGGAATTAGTGTAATAAACGAATTCCTAAAAAGTTAAGATGAATTGTGTCGAATGTCAAGCATCCAAGAGGTAGATCATAGCGAAGGTAGGAAAATTGCATTAAGGCTGATTTGGCGGACTTGGTTTTGTACGACACTTGGAGGATGAAAGAATGTAGACATCAATTGGTGGTATTGTCATCGAACCTTCGGATTTGCTAAGCCTTATTATATTATATTATATTATTATATAAGTGAGCTTTTTACTTGAAGGAATACAGAGACCTAATTAAAAAATTCTACATAATTATAACTGATTTAAATTAAATTATCACAAAATTTCTAATCTCATTGGTCAAAACCTGAAGCATTTCACAAATTATCGTTTTTCGTGTAAATTACAACTAAATAAAAAACTATGATTATAATATTAAAACAAAAATACCTTTTATTCAGAGAATATGCTGTACACAAAATAATGGGGCCTTCAAACAAAAATAGCTGAAACAAAAAGTTTGATGAATTCTCTATTTACAATAGGTTTGTGATTCCTATAAGAACTAAGATAAACCTATTAGTATCAGTTCAGGTACAGTTGAAATAGTAACAAAACATTTTTAAATAACAAAAAGATCTAATATCAATAATAAAATAATAGCAATACAATTTTAAATGTTACCTGCACTAAGGCGTAGATGTATGTAAAAGAGTCTGCAATAAAGGTCCCATTAACAAATATTCCCCAAACGAATATCCATCCATAATGTCCTTCAACCAGTTCGGCAACAGCCCACGGCCCTGTAATTTGTAAAATATTTAGCCTGGTGCGATTTCCTCTCATTATAATATAAAATCAACATGACCACTTAGCAACTGCCATTAAAAATAAAGTTAACTCGAAGCTAAAAACTATTTAAGATTAGTCACATTAAGATAATCTATAAATAACTAATATTAATGAATGAACAAATCTTTCATTCATTCATTCACTAATATTAGTGCTTGGAATGAAGAACAAAACCATTACAGAATGGCTTTTATTATTTTCAAACAATTATACATCTAAAGTAATGTAACATTACCATCTTGGTAACAAAGAAAAAGAAATAGAAGATGATTCCTATTATTAGCCTAAACAACCTTTTTTTTCATCATTAGTAATTTGCTAAAAAAATAACATTACTTCAGTCACACTTTCAAAAACAAAAAACACAGGATATAACCTTTGCAATAGAAAAAATATCTAGAGACCATATCTTTGCTCCACATTGTCCGATTTTAACGTTTATTTTTTTTATTTTTTAGGAAATTTCACAAACTTTCAACAAAAAAGTGTATGCTTTTTAATTATTCGGAATCTAACTTTATCCTTCATAACTTTTTTTCCAGCTTCTTTTCGTTGAAGTATGTTATATAGAAAATTTTAAAGGGCATCGAGAATAAGACTATAACCAAGTTTTATTGAAATCAGTACATTCGTTTTGGCGCTACAGACTATAGCAACACAGGTTTTTCGGCCGCCATCTTAATTTAAATCATCATCGGCTGATCTCTGACTTTAAATCCAAATTTGAAAAAAATTGGTCTAGTAGTTTTGGAGATGGCGGACGGCGGATCGACAAAAAAATTTTTATTCATTTTTTGAATTCTACTTATCCCAAAACTTTTTTTTTACCCCCAGAGATTTCTATTCAACAATTATGTCTTCCATTCATCCATAGATCGGATTCAGCGAAATGTTAATTTATTTGCACCGTACATAGATTTCTTTGACAATTCGTGGCCTTGGTTTTAAAATATTTTAACTTATAAATTTTGTCTAATTGTTTACTGAGTTAGAAGGGTCACACATGCGCCTTTTAATTTTTATTAGGGTCGGTCATCGATAGTCGATATTATCGAAATATCAATATTTTTCTCTATTATGCACTACATTTTACATGAAACAGGCAGGATGAGTATAATTTTTTTTCTATCAGATTCATTTATAGTTCCTAGAGCTTTCCAGAAACAACAGTTTTAATTTTTATTTTTATATTAAAATATCTCAGGGACAATAAGATCGAAACAGATACTATTGACATATCTAATATGGGAAGGAAAATATCAATATTTCGATAATATCGACTATCAATGACTATCCCTACCTACACTATACCTGAACATTTACAAGGATATATTTATATATATATATATAAAAAACATTTTTCTTCTTCAAATTTTTATGATATAATAACTTTAAAAATTACTACTCTGAGATTTTTAAACAAAGTAAATGAACTGCAATTACTTTTCCAAAAAGAAAAAAAAATTCTCTCTCAGATGGTTCAATCAAAATTTTTATTTTTCTTGAAATAATAGATTTTACCATTTTGGTAGTTTTTGAGAAATAATCAACTAAACTTCCTTAATTATGTTACTGAATAATAAATAGAAAAATAAATTACCAATACTAATGTAAATCGGATATAAAAATATTGGATAAAAAAGTGAATTCAGATTAGACAGTGCCCAAAAGCTCTTCAAACAGCGATGGATGAATGATTCCTTTCTAAGACATTCTAAATGTATTTTACCAGCTGAAATATAGAAAGAGAAAATATATAATTACATAATAATAATGTTATAAACAAAAATATCTACAATTAAGGTGAGGCGGGGATAACTGCATACACAGGATCAAAACAGTAAATCATTACACTAATAGTGTTAAAATGATCAGCAAATTTTGTTTTAGAGGAAAGAAATGGTCCAGGGTGGCGTTCATAAAGAGACTAAAATAGTGAAAAACTAATATAAAATAAGACTCTGTTTATTTTTTCACTATATTTATTTTAATTTTCAAAGCTACGTTTCGGCCGGTAAGCCATCTTCAAGCTATTTTATCCAACCATTATTTGTGATCTTGTTTTTTCTGCTCTGATGATGCTTGAATTAGCAAAACGTTGGCAAGTTAACTGTCCACTTGAATGCTGGAGACTTTATAGTTTGGATTGTCCATTCATTACGTCCCCTTTCAATTATTTTCAATGATTATTTTAATCATATGTTAAATATATGATTACATTTTGACAATTTATATGACTATTATTATATTGTATAGCCCTGTGTACGCATATACCCCGACAACAAATATAACCTACCTCACCTTATAAAAGAAAACAAAGTTTGATTACCTAAGCTTCGGTAGTTTAAATATCGTAGAAGGCAGAAAGGAAGAACACAAGAAGCAACGGCCAAACTGAATAAGACTTGTAACTTATAACAACATTCCATTATTATAATTAAATAAAGTAAATTAATTATAATAAAAACATTTAATGATTACAGACAATTTTACTATAACTAATGTAATCTACAATTATTATAAAATATTTAAAAACTAATATTTATAAATTAGGTATTTTTTAACACATATATTTTTTTTTTATATATTGTAATTTACAACTGTATGTAACAAATATAACTAGTACATACGAACAAATCAGGAATGACATGAACAATCTTGTGGAGACACTACCCAATGATCCTTAAATAGTTTTAAGTAAGAAGATCATGATGCCATCTACTTTTCAGATGTCTAGGAGAATTATCAGGAATTGAGGAAGAAGCAAGGGAACAAGTGGATTCAGATTGGACTGCAATTTGTCATGAAATGCTCTGACTAAATCAGCAACGTATGGAACAACAAGGTCTATACGAATGGTTTTATTTCTGACAAAATATGGAGCATTAAGGATTTTGGATTGTAAGGATTGGTTATGATAGAAATTTGATGGTTTTGGAGGAGCCTCAAGCCTCAAATCTGTATATCCATATATGTCTTATTATAGTCATGTAAATAAACTTTTTGTAATTAATTGGAAGTTTGGAGCGTTTGTCTGGCAAATGTTGGAGAAGCTGGAAGCATCAAGAAGTTTCTTATTTTTCAGTCTTGTACGCGGATACCAAGTAAGACGTTTGTCCGACTGTAATACTAAATAGCGGATTTGTTCAAAAGGGACAAGTGAAATATTATTGAAAGATGCTGTAGGACAGGAAGTCGTAGGTAATTTGATGAGATTTATTTTTCAGTTTAGACACCATTTTTCAATGTTTGTGATAAGTGATTGGTTGGTTTAGAATGCAATTAAAAGGTCATTATTAAATGATAGGGCATAGATGACATTGGCAAAGGTAAACACAAATCTAGTTTTATTTCAGGTTGATGGACAAAATTTTTAATATTTAATAAAATATATCACCCCATTTCCCTTTTCAAACATTTAAAAAATAATTTTTTCAACTATTTAAAAAATAATTTTTTCAACTATTTAAAAAAGAATTTTTTAAAAGAACGTTTGTCATAACGTTTTAATGTTAAAATGTTATGACAAACATCCTAAATTTTTGCGTTACATAATTGCAAAGATAATTAGCATTAAAGAAATGACACAGATATACTATAAAACTTATGCTGCTGTACTACTTACAATGGTATTGAACTTCAGCATTAATAAAAATTTTGGAAGAAGCTTGAACTCTAAATTAGAACCATCGAGGGAAAATGGCTGGTTCACCACCTTTTCTCGGCCATATATGTCTGAGACAACGACCTAAAGAGCAATATCTGATTTAAATAATAATAATATTTGAAAATAAGAAAAAACACTATTCTTTTTACAGACTCACATATTTATGTCAAGGAGCTTTCAGTGTTCTGCATCATATTCATCTAAAAATATTTTTAAATACACATTAAATTAGAAAATATATACAATATACATATATAACCATACAATAAATTAAAAAAGTTATACATTAAATTTGTTAAATTCCACTTAAGAAGCCGCCTATATTTCCACATACCTTTACAATGCTCATTCAATCAATTTTTTGGATTTCGTTTGGACGGAGTTCTGATGATATTTTATTCCCCCACTTCGACTACGGCTGTTTGGTTTACAGAGAGCTATCTGCCAGGCTGGAAATGAGACTGAAGAGACTCATGAATTGTTTCATAAGATACATTTTCGGGATCCCCAGGCGTGTTTCACTCTGGTACACAGAGTTGAAATGGCTGTATCCTACTTCCCGACGACAATTCCTCCTTGGTGTTTTCCTATTCCAAGTCTTCAGAACCAAAAACCCTCTCTACATCCTGGAACTCGTTACTTTATCCACTCTCTCAATACTAAGTCTCAACCTACAGACTTATATATCTCCTCCCATAAAACTTCCTCCTTCAACAAATCCTTCGTCATTCGTGCAGCTTCTTTATGGAACTCACTTCCTACCTCCATGCGTCAATCCTGGTCCACAAATTCCTTCAAACAACTCCTGTTCCAACACCTACTCCACATTCAAACTTCCCCTAACATGTAAAATTACTTGCATCTGTACACTGTTTAATTTCAATCTATTGCACAATTGAAATAACAATTAACAGTAAATTAGTTTATATTTTTATTATTATGTCAGACCAAGACCCATAAATTTGTAACTCTGTTATTATTCTTAGGGGACAGTAGACCCAGAATAAAATTATTTTTTCATTTCACTTCATGATAAGACAGGTTCAAAGCCCAGAGTAAGAAAATAAACCGGAAAGTAAAGTAAAACAGGAATCTTCTCTCCTCTTATAGTAAGTGATATTATAAGTAAATTCTTGATTCTGGTTAATTAAAAAACCTGCACCACTAACAACCCATGAAGGTCTTGGGTTCAGTACAATGTGAGGAAGTACTGTTACAAGGCCAACGGTTGTGCAGGGAAGTGACGGGCCAATATCATGCTCAACCGCCAGGTTTTCCTTCTTAATTAATTATTTAATTAAGAGTACCCACTTATAGAGGTTGGATTTGCCCCCAGCAGGGTCTCCCGACTCCAGGGTCAATGAAAATTTACTAGTCATCAGCCCGATTCGGACCCGAGACCTTGAAGTGCTCACCCATTGAGCTACTCCACTCCCGGTTAATCAAAAGAGACTGAATTATAACACTCAATTACCTATTATACCATGGTTTTTAATTTTTTTATTTTTTTTATTTTATCTTTTAACTTACAGATGAAAAAGCCCAAACAATTTTTTTTGTAAATTTAGACACCAATCGATTGATAAAATTTATACTCGGAACGAAATCCAAAAAATGGATTGAACAAGCATTGTAAAGGTATGTGGAAATATAGGCGGATTCTTAAGTGACATTTAACAAATTTAATGTATAACTTTTCTAATATACTGTATTGTTATATATGTATATTTTCTAATTTAATGTGTATATAAAAATATTTTTAGATGAATATAGGTGCAGAGTACTGAAAGCCTCAAAACATAAATATATGAGACTGTAAAAAGAAGGTTGTTTTTTCTTATTTTCAAATATTATTGCACAGTCTACCTATTAAACGATAATAATAATAATACATACAAAATTTGAAGAGATGAACTAAAAACTAAAACTAACCTCAATATTGTGGATTCCAGAGGAATAGTTTAAAGGTTGCCAAAGTAAAACATGGAGCGGTCCTGAAACGTGTGAAGCATTATTCCAAGGGCCTGAGTCAATTCTTATCATAACGGAATTGATTTTATCAGGAGAAAATACAAGAACCCTGAAAAAAATAATGAAAAATAAGATAACTGTAATAATATAAAGATGTAAGAGAAGTCTAGTCTTTTATACCATGTTGTTGTGTTTTTACTTTCACTTATCTATATAGGTAATGTATAGAAAGAGAAAGTATTGCGATTGTGAAAATTTTCTAAACGGAGTTTTCAACGGATATACACGCTTTGAGGTCCCCTGAGTTCAAATAACCAAGTTCCACAAAATGTGTGTGTATGTGCGTGCTTGTGTGATTGCACGTGTGTCTAGTCTAGCTCAAAAATGAAAAGTCATACGAAACTGATATTATATATTTAAGGTATGTATATGGCAGTTACGTTACAGCAACTTTTTCGTTTAAATTGGCTAACCGGAAGTTCTACTATATATCATACATTTTACACCTTTTTACAGTTTTCTCGAAAACGGCTCTAACAATTTTAATTAAATTTATTATATCAGTTGTAACATTCTATAAAAAATGGATAAATATAAAATATGAAACAATTTGATAATTAACTAAAGGAGAAATTAAAGATATAGTGAACCGCAATATAGATTCAAGAAATTCGAGTGCACCTGAGCACACACAAGCTTGGATGAAAGGCTCCAATATACAACACGTGCTTAATAAAATTTGGGCTCCAATAATATTATATATACATACATTTATGGTTTTCATAAATAGGGATTGTGTTATTTTAAGGGTCTTAAGGAGTTGTTACAGATTAGCTCTAAGTTTTAAGGTTTAGCTATGTCAAAAACTTTGTAACAGCCCAATATTGCCAGAAAATAATTTCTATTCAATGTAGATTTTTATATTATGTTCCGCGGTTTAGATAACTTATGTCACACAAGTTAGATAATATATAATTTCAATATTTAAGGTCAAATTGTCAATCGGGTGAATGGACGTTCTAATAATCCATCTTCATATATATTTATTAATAACTTAAATACAATTAAGATCAATTAACTTGTAAGCTATATATAGATAAAACATTTTTAATAAATAAATAGAATAGAATATAAAAAGCAACTTCATTATGGGATGAAATTCCTTAAAAATAACAAAGCTGTACAGAAAAATAAAGATTAATTTTGACTGGGAATGGTCTTACATAATGGTTTATTAATTAAATCTATAAATAATCATAAAAAGGAAAGTAATGTATAAATAATTACCTGATGTGTGTAGACGATAGCATCGCTTCAAGAGGTTCACGCCTCGACTGAAATAGAGCATGCTTAGGATTGGTAACAAGGACTACGGGCCAATCATTATGCTTCACATCCGTAAAGGAAAAGAGCCCGTGATCTATAGCAGCGACTCTATATCTAAAAAATATAATTAAATCCAATAATAATAGTCCACGACTAAACAAAATAATATCCAAACTAACAAGTGATGCAACAATAACATATTCATTTGATTAAAGTGATGCAACAATAACATATTCATTTGATTAATTTATATAAAAAAAAAGAACTGTGCGTTAATTCTATTTGGTTCCTGCTGTAATAGGCAAAGCAGTTGAAAACATATATAATATGTATAACAATACGAAACAATAAAAATACTCCTGAAGCAGATTTGCAACATATTGACTAGTTAATATCAAGCAACTTAAGTCTGTTCGGAAAACTACATAATATCTTATCCTACCAGAATATGGTATTTATAAAATATATTCGCCAGTACCTACAAGTCTTAGGTATTAATTACCCATAAGTTTTAGGATACTAATACTTTAGAAGAAACAAACCTCTGAGGAAAGTAGAGAGTTCCAAAATCTCAATAAATTAGTTTGAACTTAATGAACTAATTATAATTAGAAGAACTAACAAAAATAAAAAATTCAAGGATAGATCTTACCTATTTTATTAATAGGAGTTTATGAGAGATCAAATTATGAAAATATAAAAGGGTCTTAACTAATTACAAAATGTCCAATAAACAAGATTAATTTTTAAAAATACAATAAGCATAATGAACCGACAATGCATAAACAAAACAAACAAAGCATTCCTAATCTGCTCCAAAAAGTCACATAACTTTTTTGAAAATAAAAATACACCTCCAAAATATGACTAGCAGTGCTTATTTACAAAACAACACATACACAAAGCATCGTTTAACTAATATGTGATAGGAACTCAAGCATTATTTTCGGTATTATTACAATCATAGATGGGTTGGAATGTATCAATTGGGAATAGCGTGTTAAACCAATTATTAAATTTTAAGTTTTTAGGGAATCACTTAATACCACTTTTAATACTAATCATTTTATAAATTAAGTACTTACATTAAGTATTTAAATTATTTCATTTTTTTTTTATCACACTGTTTCAGAAAATCACTTTAAACATTTGTAATCAATGTTAAAAAAAAAAAAAATGAGAATACCATTTTAGAATATCACATTTAATTTAAAGTTCATTTTAGTTTGCAATCTGGTCTCTTGCCTACTATTCAGGCATTTGTTGTGTAGAGGTTTCTAGATGGAATGCTTCGAGTTAATGTCCCATCCACCTTAACTTCATATCATGAGATATAGACTGCTGAATATATCTTGTTCGATAGTTAGTACATGTGACAAAAAGTATCAGTTAAAAGTCAGAGATTGATACAGTTGTTCCGCTTCTACTCTAGTTTAGCCTAGATATATTTCGGGCAGTCGATAGTCAGTACATGTGACAAAAAGTATCAGTTAAAAATTCAGAGATTTGTCACTGATACCATAAGATATTATCACAACCCATCTCTAATTATAATATTATGGATAAAAGACAAAACAATATATTTAAGAAATAAAGGTGCTTTTAAAAAGGAAAAAAATAATAACAAAAAGTTAATTGATTAAATTTAATAGCAAGTGAACTTTAATCATTCAAGCTTTTAGTACCCATCAAAATCCTTTCAAATTTTATCACTTACACTCTATTTACTTTCCAATCGCCTAGTTCCAATTCGTAAAAGCCATTTTTTTGCAAGCTGTACATATTGGGAGCTAAACCAAAGAAAGTGTGCAAATGACCGCATAAATAAGCAACACTATTTTGGTCTGAAGCGATGATATTTCTTATCTGTGAAATTTCAAAGTTATACTAGAATATTAAACCACCTGATTTTAACATTAAGATATTAAATGTGATCATGTCATAGTAGCATCAGTTTTGAGAAACAAATTAACAAAAATAAATGCTATAATAATTTATTTTAAAATAAGCAATTCAAGGAGTAGAGTATCTATAATATCTACCAAAACTTTTTTATGAAATTCCCTTTCTTTTCCAGGTCATCTATATAAAAATTCTCCACCATTGAAACAGTTTTAATACACATCAAATACATGTGCATATGATATAATACAGATACGCATATATATGATGTTTATCGATAATCACTATGATCTGTCATACATTATGACAATAATTTCCAAAAATTGAATAATTTGGTTGTTACACTTATACAGAGCAATCCTTAAGCTCAGCACTGAATTTAGGAACTTATCCAATTTAACAACCACATAATTCAATGGAATAAGAAATTATTGAGTTAATATATTAAGTTTGAATCAAAAATCATTCAAACATAATGAAAGAATGTGCGAGTGAAAACCTGATTGATTATATCCAGTGGGATGCAAGAATAAGGTATATTTGACAAAAAATTTACAAACTAGAATTAAATATTTCAATCAAAATGACTTTAAAAACAACAGATTAAGACTTTTCAATCTATTTTTATTCATAAAAACACAGTTTTTTAATTTAAGCAATTTTGACGGAGAGTTTGATAAATAAAAAAATTGTATGTATGAATACAATTATCTAACTACCACTTCTCAAGTTTACCTAGCAATAGAAGTTTTATGAGCATCTCGGAAACGTTATGAGTAAGGAGAAAATCTGGCATTCGAGTGTGATCAAAGTTTAATCACCTCTTAGAACAACCGTCGGAGTCTAGAAATCCTTACAAAGCTGAGAATCCAAGATGCTCTAAGGGTTGTGGTGTAGTTTTTTTAATATAAAATCAAGATTTATCTTGATGGCATATTTTTATTAGTACTAATTTCATGAGAGCAGAAATCAATTATAGATAATACATAAAACTATTACATTTATTGATAATTATACATAGGATACAGAGGAATGTGTTTAAAACAGAATTTTAATTTTGATTGCATTACACTTCAATTTAATCTTGGGAACTGCAATCAACAACTGTACTTAATAATCTGAAAAGCTATAGGGGATGTTATCATAGTTCGGAAACAAAAAATTATGCTTATCTTGATACTTATATTATGACAAGCAGTGAATGTTACGACGGACAGCTGACTAAATTATTTAAAAGTGGATTGGTACTGTTTTTATTCATATAAATGGCAATTTGATTTGGACTGTGTTACAATGGGTTGGGAACTGATTATATAGATCTACTTTCAGCCACACTCTGTATTGCGTTGAAAGTGATCTTGAAACCAGTCACCATATTGTAATAGTAATTCAGAAATAGTACCCAAATCTATTTAATTCACTCACCTCTGGCTGGCTAACGATACACGATGTGGGATAATGACTGAACCACACAGTGTAGTTCACATCATTCAACTCTCTATGAAATCCCATCAGTCTATCAACTTCTGTATCCGACAATATGCCAGCAAAATTGAACGTCATCTTGATTCCCACATCAGGGGTGGCATCAACAGCAACAAAAGCATAAGTTTCCGAACCAATACTCAATTTACGAATATATGATCTCGATTGGTTTCTTCCCTGCATTGAGTACTTCAGAAACAAATTCTTTGGTGAGTATACATCAGGGACGTCAAAGTTATCTAAAATAAATATTAATTAGATCTTATTAAAAAAATTTGGCTTTGATAATGTAAATTAAAAGATAATCTTTACCATGGTTCCCTCTTATATCTAGCCATGGTATTTTCTTCAAAGTTCTACATTTATCTAAAATTCCTTTGTACATAATCCATTCTTCTTTTATCTGCATAGAACCCACTGAATCCCATTTCCTTCCATCAGTGAGATCACCTAAACAAATATTTCATCATGCAACTATTTTTTTTTTTATTTTAAAAAGAATTGTTTACTATATAACACTTATACCTGTTGCCAGAATGACAGATGGGTTGATATGTTTGAATGTAAAGTCACAGAGTTCTAATAATGTCGTTCCTCTGGTCTTATCACGGAAATTACTTAGATGTATATCTGATACCTACAGATTAGTAGTATTGCTTAAGATTACTTAATCATAATCTATTTAATTTCAAAGTTATTTGAATACAAAATATCTACCTGCACGAACCACATAAGATGATCAGATGAATCGCTTATTTTAAGAGTACTTGAGGCTGAATTTAAATCGTTAACATTTTTTTCACTGTGGTTCACGGACATCAAACCCAAGACGTGAGCAATAATAATTGAAAGACCTAACAGTAAAACCAATATAGACATTCCGGCCTTGGTAAATCTCATATTAAATAATGAAAAATCAAATCATTATTGGGAAGTAAAACTATAAATATGAATCGTTAATTCTGAGTAACCTCCACACTCCCGACTTCTGACAGATCTGTTTGTTAACCGCCAGGTTTAATCGGCTATTATCGGGTTTCTTCGTTTCTATTCGTTGTTGAGATAAGACCGCTTCTGTCTGATAAACACAGTGTTGCCTGGTTGGTAATTTTTTTTTCTCTCCAAATTTAGATATTTTTACTTTCAAATACTTATACTTGCAATATATAGTAGGAGAAAACATTGCGATCGTGAAAATTTTAGAATTTGAGTTTTAAACGGAAATATACATTTTAAGGTACTCTGAATCCAAATCCAAAGTCCCGCAATGGTCTGTGTGTGTGTGTATGTGAACATTCTAGCTCAAAAACTAAAAGCCACACGAAACTGAAATTATATATTTCAGGTATATGCTTGGGGTGTTACAGCATGTTTTTGCTTAAAATCTACTCACCGGAAGTGCAACTTTATATCAGCGATTTTACACATTTTTACTGTTTTCTCGAAAACGGCTCAAACGATTTTAATTAAACTCGGTATATTGATGCATAATTAAATGGTCATTAATATCAGCTAAATCTTATCCAAATTGATGTCACACAACTTAAATACCCAAATTTCATAATTTCTTCATCTAAAGTACCTTTAGATGAATTTTTTGATGAATTGATGAATGTTTTTATATAATTAACTGTCTTTTAGTGTTAGTACTAACGTAAAAAATCTGATGCGCTAATCACACAACTTTCATTTACCAACATTATAATAGATAGGTATTTTCATGTAGAAATGCCCATCCCTCCTCAAGGTCGCAAAGACCTACCCTCCCCTTTCCTCCCAAAATATTTTATTGATCACCTTTTCTTAAAAACAGAGCAAGCTAAGGGAAAATTAGAAAAAATCGTAGATCATATACAATTACACTTGCTGCGATATGTTCCATGTTTTCCTCCTTGTCCCTTAGTCCAAAAATTCATAACTCCGTCGAAGTTTGCTGCTCTCAAAAATAAAAAAATAAAACGTCAAAATATGCCCCCCACTCAAAAATGTTGACTGCGCAATTCGCGCCATGAAACCCCCTTCTGGGTACCCCTGTTTTTATATCTAGTTAAGTCAAAGGGAAAACGACAGTATAATTTTCTAAAATAACTCAAATTCGAACTTTTTTCTTTTTCGCAATACGGTTTGATATACAAGTCAGTGAAAGTAAAAATAGACTTCTGGAGTAATGAGGTTTACGATGAATATTGAAAACTAAAGCTGAATCATGAAAGTCACGCGGAATAACATCTTAATATTTTAGTAAAATATCGATTTCAAGTCGAGGTGAACTACCTTAACGCTACTACTATCTGGAGTGTGTTGATATATTTGCATTTTTCTTCTTATATATCTATTCAGCACTTTATATTTGTCATCTACGATCCATTCTTATTTATCAATAGTTCATCTGATGAATTTATCGATAGTTCAAATGAGTATTGTTAATAACTTGTAGCACGGGCAGATCTACGGAGGGAGGGGGGAGAGGATTGCGGGCTGAAGCCCTCTCTCAAAATGGTAAAATATAACCATGTCTTATGAAAAACATATTTAATAATTACCTCTAAAAGCATTATTGTTCGTGTAATTACATTTAATAGTGCTTAAGGAATCACTTAAACTCTATTTCATATAGATTGTTGGTTCCTTTCTTTTTCTTTCTAAGTAATTATCGTTATATATTTAAAACAAAATCTTTCGTGCTAAAACCCCCCTCCACAAAAACTACATCCGGGATTCGCTAGTGAAGTATAGGAAATGGCGTAGAAACAAATGGCTCAAGAGATCCCCAATTCTATTGGTTCATTTTTCTTTTTTATAGAAATATTAAAATTCGAAAAGTACTAGAAATATCAGTAAAAAAAAATAAATTATGTAGTAAAAATAGCTAGATACAAAAACTTTGAGATTTTACGATAGATAATTAATAAAAGGGCAACGATACGCCCCGTCAAGCAAAAATTACGAATGAAAAATGGTAGATCTACCACTAAGCCCTCTGACCATATATTGACATTAGAAATAAAGGTCTATTGGTCTTAGTTTCTTTTTTAAAAAATTAATAGATTTTATCAAATGAGATTTCCTACGTATGTATGTTTGTTTTTCTGAAAATGAAGTATTTAAAATTACTATGAGAAGGAGTTAGTCGAGGGTGCGGTCAAATAAATAAAAACAATTAAAATATATAAATTATTTTAATTTTTGCCGACGTTTCGACCCACTTTGCAGGTCGTCTTCAGGGCGTAATTTGTGGTACTGCGGGAGGCAGTTGAAACACTGGCCAAACGTCGGCAAAAATTAAAATAATTTATATATTTTAATTTTTTTTATTTATTTGACCGCACCCTCGACTAACTCCTTCTTATATTATATTAACGGTCAACCATCTCTACATCATTATTTAAAATTACTATTCGTTGTTTCTGTTTTTTTTTTTAAATCTAAATCCAGCATGAGATATAATGAGGGGATTTCACTTTCTACAAAAGTTTTATAAACCAACATGAATTTTTTCTCAGACGTTTCGGAGTTATGCGTGATTGTTACTACAGCTTCATAAACGTGGACGCAAGTTCAGTTCACAAAAGCGTGTTAATAAATGCGGAATTATCGTATAAAAAAAATCATTTCTTATAAACAAAATGTTAAGTTAAAAAGAAAAACGTGAAGCATGTTAAAGTAAAATTTGCCATTTAAAGAAATTTATTTTCATTTTGATCCTGTTTTCAGAAAATGTCTGCAAGAAATGAGACTAAACAACTATTTTAAGTTATTCTTTTAAAGAATATTTTCTATTTTAGAGGAATGATGAACTTAAGTAACCGCACTAGCGGATCTAGGATTTAATTTTTTTGGGGGGGAGCTTTAGCCCGAAAGCTTTTTTTTTTTTCATATATGTATATAAAGATAATTAATTAAAAGAAAGAAATTAACTACCTACATGAAATGGTGTTTAAGTGGTTCTTAAAGTCCTATTAAATGTGATTACACGAACAAGAATACTTTAAGAGATAGTTTTTATTTTTATTTTTTGTAAAACATGGTTATATTTAATCATTTTGAGAGGAGGGGGACTTCAGCCTGAAAGCCCCTCCCCTCTGTAGAACCTGCCTGTGAGTAACTGAATGTATTAAATTTAATGTATTCGGTAACCACTTACTGTCTAGTCACTATATTTAATTATGTTTGTGCAGCCATTGTTTATTGCAATCTATTTCCGATGTTTGTTACTGAAATCGTCCTTGGGACGCATCTATCACTTGTTATGCAATAAAAATTAGTTTTTTACCTTTGAGACAAATAGATGAACAAAAAATATATCAAAAATTTTAAATTGTTGTCGATCTCTATCCTTAAATAAAAGGGGAAAAACTTGATATCCCCATAAGCAACGCTGTTTATAGAATGTCTCTGCAGAAAAAAAAAAATGAATGAAAATGAAATAAAAATAAAAAGAACAGACATCACACAAGCTATTCTGCTAAGAAAAGGTTCTTGACGCTTAACGCGTTAGTTTAATATATTTTATAAAAACTAAAGATATTTCTCTGTCTTTGGAATTTCTCTTCATGGACCGATATGAAACATATTCAGCTAAAGGATAACATTCATAAATGATTTCAACCAACGAGACATATCTGTCGAAGTTTGAAGCTATAGCTTAGGATAAATGGAAGCTAAAATTCAGATCTTAGGTTAACATCCTTAGAGTTCAGAAAATAGTTGCTAGTGAGAAAATTTAAACCTTTATTCAGAGTTCTATATTTCAACACTGCAATCACATGCTCTGGAGTCAACGTACTCACTATCTGTACAGATATTATACATTTCTCAACTAGAAATATCTCATAGAAAATCACTAAATAAAATGACTTAACTCAAAAATTTAGAAATTGGAGATAGCCATTCTGCCAACTGAAGGCTTATATACATTAAGGTAATGCACGATTTAATTGTAAATACAAAAACACTTAGAACTATGTTAAATTGTTAATAATGATCAAATAAATTTTATTATTTAATTTCCACTTAAAGATTATTTTTAGGAAATTCAAGAAAATATTTTAAAAAATAAGTATGGATGCAGATGAGCTGGCTGAATTAGCAATGTTAATACTCTAATAAAGTCAGTGTTTGTTATTAATCAAGGTTAATTAAACATCCTGTTGCTTTATCCTCTCCCAGCCTATGGTTCGATGTCAATTTAAAAATAATTCAAAACGTCCTTCAAAGCGTAAATTCGCATCGTTAATACTGCTGTGATTAGCAGCAACAGTTTGGATAATGCTGTATAAAGCTCTCCCTTTTACAAGAAATATTATTGCTCTCCTTTTGTTAGAAACGATGCAAGCCAAAATAGAATAAGAAAATTGGGAAATCATATACAATTATACTCGTTAAGCCAGTAACATGATTTTTTATCTTCATAATTGGTAAATGGTTGACTGTCGTGGATAATGAAGAGAAGAATAGTTGGGGTGGTCAGTCAAAAAAGAAGGCAAAAATAAATATTATCATTTATGTTTGCCTTCTTTTTTGACTGACCACCCCAACGATTTTTTATCTTGTTTCCTGATTTTAAAATTCCTCCAAATTAAAATCCCACAATATACGGTTCCTTCCAAATATGAATGATCTGGAACTGAATTTGTATCTCACTTATTAATAAACATTACCTGTTATTAATAACTACCTTCATTTCAAATGTTTCAAGAAATTGACTTTAGTCTTCTGTCTCCTCTTTCAGAACTGAAGGTTTTAATAAGTATTTTTAGTAACGGTAATAATATACCGAAGGTGTTAATAAGTAAATGTATATAAAAACAAAATAAAATGTTTGAAAAAAACAGCAGTCTCGTTATTTTAGTGGAAGAGTGATAGACGGGGGGGAGGGTGCTCAGGGGAGCCCACCCCCCTCCTACAAGATCGATGGTGTATGAACCTTCCCCCACCCCTCCCAATATATTTTATTGCTATTCTCTTCTTAAAAACAGTGCAAACAAAAGTATAATTTAAAAATTCGTAGACTATATACAATTACAC